AAAGTACCTCAGACATAGGTTCTTACTCAGATATAAGGTATCTCAGATATAGGTTCTTACTGAGATATAGGTCCTTACTCAGGTATAAAATATCTCAGATACCGGTCCTTAATCAGATATAGGTTCTCATTCAGATTAAAATATATCTGATATAGGTCCTTACTCATGCAGAGATAAAGGATCTCTGATATAGTTCCTTACTAAGATATAAAGTATCTCAGATATGGGTCCCTACTCAGATATAAGGTATCTCATTTATAGGTCTTTACTCAGATATAAAGTATCTCAGACATAGGTTCTTACTCAGATATAAGGTATCTCAGATATAGGTTCTTACTGAGATATAGGTCCTTACTCAGATATAAAATATCTCAGATATAGGTCCTTACTCAGATATAAAGTATCTCATATATAGATCCTTACTCAGGTATAAAATATCTCAGATATCGGTCCTTAATCAGATATAGGTTCTCATTCAGATATAAATTATATCTGATATAGGTTCTAACTCATGCAGAGATAAAGGATCTCTGATATAGTTCCTTACTAAGATATAAAGTATCTCAGATAATGGTCCCTACTCAGATATAAGGAATCTCAGTTATAGGTCTTAACTCAGATATAAAGTATCTCAAATATAGGTTCTTACTCAGGTATAAAGTATCTCAGATATAGGTTCTCATTCAGATATAAATTACATCTGATATAGGTCCTTACTCATGCAGAGATAAAGTTCTCTGATATAGTTCCTTACTAAAATATAAAGTATCTCAGATATAAGGTATCTCATTTATAGGTCTTTACTCAGATATAAAGTATCTTAGTTATAGGTCCTTACTCAGATACGAAGTATCTCATATATAGGTCCTTACTCGGAAATAAGGTATCTCGGATATAGGTCCTTTCTCCGATCTAAAGTATTTCAGATTTAGATTCTTACTCAGATATAAAGTATATCTGATATAGGTTCTTACTCAGATATAAAGTATCTCAGTTATAGGTCCTTACTCAGATATAAGGTATCTCAGATATAGGTTCTTACTAAGATCTAAAGTATCTCAAATATAGGTTGTTACTCAGATATAAAGTATCTCATATATAGGTTCTTATTCAGATATAAGGTATCTCAGATATAGGTTCTTACTAAGATCTAAA